ATGCCAAGCCAAAAGTTTGAACGGCTCCATTTGTATATGATTTTTGACCTCCTGTATGAGTCCATACTTTCAATATGGCATAATAGAACTTTGCATTTCAGGGTTAATGTTGTTTGAAGTTGTTGTTAAAGTTCATAGCATCTAATGTCAAGTTGTATGACCTCATATCCTCAACTGTAGAATATTCTTCTCTTGGATAATATTTGCCATCTATGTTTATATGATATTTAATACCAGGGTTGTAGAACAAGAATAGTCATTTTATAGTTCGTCTGAACAGTACAAACATAGTATCTGCATGTTTCATTGCAGTTGTTAAGCAATATCTGTTCTTCTTGCACCTGGGTCTGGCACTTTGGTTTCCAACTTCACCTGCAAAGTCTTTGACAGATATTTGGTTATAGGGAACAAAGTGGAACTGCAATATATTGGCAGCTAAAGCATTTGAAATATCTGGGTCCAACATATAGACTGCAAGTCTGCTTTCTATTCTCTTGCATTCAAATTTTTCGCATGTGAACTTAACTGGGTCCCAAGCATCTCCAGCAGCATTGAAATAATAGTTTACTTCAGTGTTGAGTTTGAGAAACCAAAGTCTAAGTCAACTTTGTTTTGCAAAAGTCGGCGAATGACCATTTTATTTGTTCCACTACTTCTGTAGAGTGAATGGGTCTTGTGTTGGTGCAATGACTAAGTTATTTTTGCTTGGAGTAAGTTCGATAGAAATTTTTCCTGCCCAGTTTGGCAAGTATCTTAAAAACCTGAAGATGAGGAAAGATGACAAAGGAACTCTAAGTTTCATTTTACTTTGGTTACTGCTGCTGCAGTTTGTCCAAAAGTTAACATAAACTCCTGGAACGTTAGGGTCAAGTCTTCTTATTTTCTCAATGGTTGCATACTGGTCTGTTTGTTCTCTAGCTTGTGGTTGTACTGAGTTTCTCAAAGCGAACCATTCATAGTTTGCCCATGTTACTGTTTGAACTAAGTCAGAGTTAGAATATATCTTATATCCCATGAAAAACTTCTGGAGCATATTGGTATCCGACATAGAAAATTCCATTGCAACCTTTCTTGTCAGACAACTTGGCAGAAGGTTTTATTTCAATGTCTTGTTCCACGTATAAGAAGAGTTGTCAATAGAAATTATATGAAACCTTCGCAAGCAATATTACTGTTGTTGAAGAACCTTCTCCAAACTCACCTACGTTTCCATAAGAAACAGCAGTTGTATATTCGTAAGTTCCAGGAACTATTCTGACCTTCTAATGGCATTGTCGCATTCGTTATACCATTCGGAAACATTCCATCATAGCATCCAAAACTGTTGGCGTTATATTCTGAGCGGCGTACATTTCATATGAGTAAAAATATAGAATAGTGGATTTATATGTCATAATAGAACCCACTCCGACCAAGCTTTACTTTCTTCCTGACTGAGTTTTTAACTCTTCTTTTTCCTTCATTGCCCTCTGCTTGAAGTTGTTTGCATCTTTGCATTATGTTCATCTAGTATGTTGCAAATTTCCCATGTCCTTTTTGCCTTTTGGCTCTGGTCGCCCATCTCAGGTAACCTATATCCTAGAAAAGTTTGTCATAGTCTGTATTTGAGTCTTCGCGTATTGTTTGCAACTCTTTCCTGAGTTTCCGGTTCAAGCTCTTCAAACAGTGCCTGTCCATATGGAATATGCTCGTTTCCAAATATATGTTTTTGTAGCCATTCTGGTTTTCTTCCATGTTTACAACTATATCTTTTGTGAATGGGAAAGCTTCTACCCAATCTTTCAGTCTTGCGTCGTTTATTTCTGTAGTTGGTTTTATTTTGTCAAGGAACATGTTTTTCAATACTAACATTTTCATTTGGTACTGTCCATTTGAGTTTTCTTAAATATCATCCCTTCTCGTTCATTGTCTGCAAAGTAAGTTTTTATGACATTTTGTAAACTTTCGTTTGCAAGGTCATGTACAATAGGTCTCTTCCTTCTCTCCCTAACTTTCTTTCTAAATCTTCACCAAATATACCATCTCTTTTCTGTGTAGTTCTTTGAATAAATGTTCTAGAACGTCAGTTATATTTCCATCAGCCATGTTCATTTCATACTGTCCAAAATATCTGCATCTTTCATATCTTTCAATGGCATTAAAGCCGCGCTGAAAATACCACTATATCTCGTTCACCATTGACTTCCATTGCGTCTACAACTTCTTGGAATTGGTTGTAAGTTTATGAACCACCTATCCGGGTTAGCTTTATGACCCCATCTCATTGTAGTTCCATCGTCTGCAGAAACAAAAGTAGTTTGTTTCCATCTTGGTTAGGTTCTGAATGAACTTTAAACAATGTTTCATTTCTATATGTTTCTTGAAATTTAACCTTTATTTTCACCGAGTTCATCCGAAGATTGAACGTTAAATGCTCGTAAGTAAAAGGGTTTGTATTTGTGTACATTTTTTTCAGTTCTTCCATTCTATGCTGAATATTTTCATCTGATGTTGGAGTCTTTTGTATGTCGGCAAACATTTTTCGATATTCTTCTACTATGTCAGCCGAATTTTTTTTAGACTCTTGGAAATATTCCATATTCTCCGCATACTCTGTTGAGGTCAAGATTTTTCGGCTGTTCCAAATCTTCATCTAGTTCTGTGAAGTTAGTTTCCAAAGGAAGGACTTGTTTTCCTTCAGGCTCTTCTAGCTTGTTGTTGCTGAACTATTTCTTCCATGTCTGGTTGTATCTGAACTAGTTCTTCCTGTGGAGTTTCTTTACCTCATCTGCTGGCATTTCATATATTCCGAGACCGTTTTCAACAATTCCCTTTCTAAGTCATCCGACTCATTAAACCTTTCTTCTTTCGTTCCGTCTCTATTTTTTACGCGTTCATGAAGAGTAATTGTCATTTAGCTCTGACATCAAATATCTCGGAGTAAATTCGTTCCATGTCATTTGGATGATATGCTATTAAATCATATCCCTTAGCGAGCTTGTATTTTCCAGGTTTGAAATTATATCCCCTTTGGTGCAGACCATAAAGCTAAATAGGTTCGGGTCAGTATTTCCATCCTTGAACTTTCAATAGCTTCTTTATATCTGTCACTAAAGTCAATACTATCTGGGTAACCACAGTCTTCTTTAAGCATTTTTAAAATTCTTGGTTTCCTTGTTCTCTACTTCTTTTATGTCCTTGCTCTGTTTGTGGTTGTTGTTGTGCTGGTTGTGGTGCAGTGTTTTGAACTGTTGGTTGTTGTGTTGGTTTGTGCTGGGTGGATGGTTGTTGTGCTGGTTGTTGTGCATGCCTGTGTCTGTGTCCATGTGACGATGTAAATGTTCTAGTAGTCCTGGTGCAGTGCTTCTCTTGGAGGGTTGGTGGTATATAAGTTCCACCAGCGCACATATGTTCCATCTGCAGCGTAATGTCCTACCTGACTTTTCGTTTTTAAGAAAGCATTTACTAGGTCTGTTTTGGTCTGTTGTAACTCTTTTCTTGACTTTTCACAACAGTTGCTCTAACGCGTCATAGGCACTTTGAACTGCCTGTCTCGTTGCTGCATCTGTTATTTTCGTCATATTTTTGTGCTACTTCTTTAACTCTTTGTCGAAACCTTCAGACTTCAGTTTCTTTCCAGATGAGAAGTCGTTCACTTGTTTCACCTTACTATGAAGAGCTTCGAAGCGTTCTTAAAGTCAGCATTTGTTAAAGCTTCATTTGAACTATCTTCATCCGCTTGTATTTTTGTCCTTATTGACCCTATGAGTTGGGCTGCTTTAGCGTTGGCTTGGGCATCTAACCAGTCATTTAGCTTTTATATATTCTGCACTTTTCATTGCCTTTTGCATGGCTGCGTCGTTATTTTTACTTTCTTGTGCTAAGTTTTCATACTGTACGGTTTGGTTTTGCAACTGTAAAAGTTTTTCTGCCTTTACATTTGCTTCAACTTCTTTTTATACTCATCGCTATCCATATATGTCTTCAGGGCTTTTTGTTTTATCTCTTCATCTTTCAGTATTTTATATTGAGTAGTATGGTTTTTCAAATTTATGACATCTTGTTCCATTTTTGCTACTTCTGCTGCTTTTTCTGACACTTTTTTCGCATATTCCTCTGTACTTAGTTCTTTCAGTTGTTCTTCTTTCTTCTTTTTCTCTACGTTTAACTCATTGAGTTTCTTTGTGTGTCTGTCATATTCTAGTTTCTTTTCGTTTTCACTTATTTGCTTCTGTATGTCTATGTTTGACTTTTTGACATCTGTTATTTGATTTTTGAGTGAACTCAAATTCATTTGACTTTGAGGGTTATATGCTGTTCCGTCTGCAGCTCCACCATAGCCTGCCATTTTCGCTAAAAGTGCCGCTCTTAAACCTCCACTCTGTGCACCAACAACTCGGTTTAAAAGCATAGGATTGCTTGACATTTGTTGCAACATAGTGGGGTCATTCAGCATTTGTTGTTGCAACTGTTGTTGTGGTGTCAGTTTTACTATTGGATGTTTCAATGCTCTCTTCCTCTTACGTATATTCTTACGTAGCTTACGTGGCATTTTAAGTGAAGTTAAAAAGCGGTTTTTGACAGATGTTTATATGACACTTTTTGTTCAGCACAAAAAACTACTCGGTCAAAGTGTTGTCAGTTTTGTAAAATAACCGTCCTATCTCATTCTATAAGGGAAAGTCTTCTCAAAGTATACTTCCTTGGAACGCCTGTAACTTTTCCTGTAGCGACGATAGACCCTTACTTGTCCGGACAAAGCTGTACTATTTTGAGTGCTCTACAAAAAAGTCAACGGCTACGACTCTCAAAAACCGTTGTGTAAAAAGTTTTACCGTTGGACAAAAAAGTATATATAGAAAACAAAAAACGTTTATAGTTCATTCAATATTTGAGATGGAACGGTTTGCCAACGGTAACTATTAAATAAAATAAAAAAATAGAGGGGTTACCGTTGACGAAAACGGTTTATTTTAAACTTTCTATGAGTAGTCCGAAAAAAAACAGTTTATTTTTGTCTAATGGAAGCCAACATTAACAATTCTCAACCGCTAACCAAAGCCAAAGCCCCACAACCTCCAAGAACTGGCACAGCTGTTAGAATAACCGCCAAAAAGTCTAACAGCGAATTAAGAGAAATTCTTCAACAAATTTGCTCTAAATATCTCAAAGACGCCGAAGAAAACACACAACCAGACGCTATATACAATACTCAGTTCTGTGAAGTTCTGAACAAAGCAATTGCTAGTTCAATTGAACTTACTAAGACAATTCCAAGTCCAATTGAGCTTAGCGATGTCTTAGTTCAGTATTTTCCAACATTTACTAAGCTTATAATGTTGAGAACTTTATACCAAGTTCGTCAAAATCTTCCTCGTTACATGCAACGGTCATTCGACAAGAGAATTGCCGAATTCCAAGTCTTTAGTTACGGATATGACCAAGATGAATACATTGACGAGTTCGGAGACAACTGTACAAAATGGTTTGACTGCTATACGACTACACAATTTGTCTTTGCCACATATACTATTAAATCTTTAACGCTACAAATCTTCAATGAAAATTGGACCAAAAGAATGCAACACTTTATGAAGAAGACAATTTGGTTTTCGTGTATGCTTTGCTTTCAGGCTGGAAGTAAAATGAAGAAACTATTGACCACATTAATGAAGTCATTTCGGTGTTAGATGACTTTCTCAAATAAAGTACAGAAATGTCGACGACAAACTGGTTAGATATCTCGTTAATGTTTACCATTGTTACTTCAATGATCAAGACATATGAAATAAACGAAGATTATTACAAAAAGAATGCGAAACTGTTAGAAACTATGACTTTACTTCTTGTTGAAGGATCACTCATGCTAAATGAAAGATTTACCAATGACCAACTATTTCATTCCAACTCATATAGAAATCTGCTTGAAGGAGTTGTGGTGGAATGAAAATTGAGAAACAGATGAGAAGATTTATGCAAAAGAGAGAGCAAATATTGATTCGTGTATGATAGAACAACACCGATATGGGAATGTTAATGAAAACTGTGGAGTGGCAAATATTAAGAACCATTTCTTAAGGAGAACTTTTCAAATATCGACTGGACTTAGTATAACAGATACCTATGAAACATTTAAGATTGACATAATACTTCCAAAGTATTCGTGTACAACGAAGAGAAAGCCGAAGTCAAAGAAGTAAATAAAAAAAGTGCAAGTTCATTCCTTGAGCACGTTTCTTTTTGCTGATACTTGAGTGTAGATAGGCGATGCTATTCATAAAGCTTTTAACATTTTAATGACAGTGAGATGGTTCAGTGATGTGGAAGCATTTTGGGGTCGAACTGTGCACAGAATTTTTGGAGCGACTTCCGACAAGAGATTTTAATATATTTTCATAACCTCAGCTATATTTAAAACTTCATCTTAAGACACATGACAGAAGTGAAAGGAACTCCCATCATTAAAGGTTCACGAACAATGCAAATAACTGGCTTATATAAAGGACGGGCAATTATTATAAAAGACTCTTACAGTGTTATAAATAAGAAGCTTAAACTATTTCCTGCTATGTTTAACTTACAAACAGGACCGAAAGAAGTATTTCCATATAACTACTACAGCAGTACTTTGTTAGCAAATGACAACAGAACTGGTGTCATTTCTGAAGCGTGTAAGTTTGTAAAAGATATTGAAACGTTCATGAAGAACATAGATTCCATCAAAGGGTGCAGAATAGATGAGAACCACTTCGACTTAGAAAAATATAGCACGTTTTACTGCAAACAAGATGTAAGAATTTTAAGAGAAGGTTTTGTTAAGTTCCGCAATGACATATTGAAAGAATTTGATTTAAACGTATATGACTACGTTAGCATTTGTTCAATTGCTAACAAATTATTTGAGAACAGAGTGTACTTCCCGAATGGAAATTTATATGACCTCTCAAATAAACCAAGAGAATTTATTTCGAGATGCATTCAAGGTGGAAGATGTATGTTGTCAGATAACATGAAACAAAAGAGCGAAAAGAAACTCATTGCTGATTTCGACGCTGTTTCATTATATCCATCAGCTATAGCAAGACTTTATACTTTAGAAGGTATTCCAAAGGTTATGAAGAAAGAAATGTTAAGCACAGAGTATCTCATGAGACATTTATTCGATGACGACCAAAAGGAACCCATTGGTGAAAAGTTTATGTCTGGCTTCTTTGTTCTCATTAAGATAACAGAGATTGGAATACATAGACACTTTCCTTTAATAGTTTGTGACCCTGAACTAAATCCAGAACTTAACGTTCCCAGAAGTTCAAACACTTGCTGTTTAATGTATGTTGACCATATAACATTACAAGACCTCATAAAATATCAAGGTGTCAAATGTGAAGTGTTGCAAGGATACTATTACGATGGAAACAGAGATATTAGAATAAGAGATGAAGTAAAGAAGTTGTTTGAATTAAGGTTAAAGTATAAGAAAGAAGGAAATCCTTTGCAAGAAAATATAAAGCTCATTCTGAACAGTATTTATGGCAAAACTATTCTATCTCCTATTGAGTCAAAAATAACCATAGTAAATGACAAAGATGCTATAAGATATGCCATCAGAAACTACAACCATATAGTGAAGTTCGAAGGTTTGGATGGTTCAGATAAAACTATTTTCAAGCTAACGAAAAGCATTTGCAGACACTTTAACTTCTGTCCACTTGGTGTTAATATTCTGTCTATGTCAAAACGTATATGTGAAGTATTCTGTACTGCTGAGACATGGGACTTCAAATATTTTACCAGGACTGTGATAGCATGCATATTTTCAATGAAGACATACCAAAGCTTGCAGCAGAGTTTAAGAAGAGATACGGTCGAGAACTTATTGGTAAAACATTAGGTCAGTTCCATTCTGACTTTCGCAGAAATCAAAAAGAAAACAAAGTTTAGCATACAAGTCAATATTTTGTGGAAAGAAGACTTACATAGACTTACTCACGAATGATTTAAATGAAGTTGCATTTCATGCACGTTGTAAAGGTGTAAAACAAGACGTCTTGCTTTAACAGCTAATGAAATGTTTCCTGAAGCTATACAATGCTATTACAATGAAGATAAGAACATTCACATACCTGTTGGAACATATGACAAAGACTCTGAGTTCAGTTTAATGAAACTTTACAAAGCACTTCATGATGGTCAAGAGATTGGATTTGACTTATGTAAGTCTTCTAGTCCTTGCTTTGCTGAAAAGTTTAACTTCTATAACGACTAAGCTTTATTCGTAAGTTGAAGTTCTGAGGTCATTTATTTTTGTCAGCAATGAGGTCATTCGTGATAAAAATAATGAGGTCATATATTTTTGTCATTTATGTATAACCATTGTCTCTCTTAAACTTTGCAATAGACAGCTTTGTTCTTCTTCCTTCTACATCTGTAATGTTTATATAATCTTTGTTATACTGTCTTAAGACATTCATTCGTCTGTATTGAGTTCCCATGAAATAGTAAAAGCATCTTCACTTGGGACATAGTAGTAGTTCTCTAACGTGTGATATGAGTATTGTATAATTTCAACAGCGTCTTCAGGAAGAGAGTCAACAATGTCAAACCAATAGCCATTTGAACCAGAAATATTTCTCATGTTTTCTCTTCTTGTCGTCCATCTTAAGTTCGAGATATGAAAGTCTCCTCTGTCTCTGTTTATATGGTCTACTTCACGAAGTCCTTCAGGGTTCGGAATGAAAGTTTCTGCAACTATTCTATGTTTCATCAGCTTGTGTTTGTTTAAATTTACACAAATATAACCATCTCCTTGGTCAAACTCACTAACAACTCTTTTATTGCTTATACGTCTAATTGGATAAGGGTACTCTGAAAAGATTTCATAGTCATTGTCATGTTCGAGTGTTTGCCAATGTCCTTCACCTTCCATGCCTTTCACTCAAATAAAAATTTTCAGAAAAAAATAAAACTAGCGTAGATTTTACAATACTGCGATGGTAGAGTTTAAGAGTTGTGCTTCAATGTAGAGACAGTCCTTATGGTCTGGAGGTAAGAACACTGGCAGTTATGGTCATGAGTGGAGAACATGTCTATCCAAAACTCACGATTGAAGCCAGTTAATTTATAGTATTTAGGGTTAGGAAGTGGTGAAGTTCTTGTATGACCAATGAACTCATTTTCAACCCTTCTTATTAAGTTTAAATATATTAGCTTGCTTTCTATCCCAAATGCCAGGTGTTACAATCTTTGAAAATTCATTTTTCCTCGGAAGCATTGCATCATAATTGAAAACATTCTTGAAATCATCACTTGGTTCAGAGATTTGAAATCTTATACGTAATGGATTTTCTTTCTTTTAGCGACTTCATTGAATGGTGAGAATACAAAACTGACAGTCATGAGTTCCATCTTCATTTTCATTAAATTCATAATGAAAGTCTATAAGTTGTGGCTGACTACCTTCTTCTTTCAGTTGTGCAAGAAACTCACGTAAAGGCTGTAAAGTTTGTACTTCAATGTTGAACTTTTTCTCGAACATCTCATTAAATGAAATCATACATTGCAACAATGTTGTATCGTCTTTAAAGTATTTGTATATGTGAATGTTTTGGGCGCTTAAAGACTGTTCGTCATTTTCTATCTCGACTTGAAGTATAAAGTCAACCTTTCTGAAAGCACGTGTTATATACATAGATGTTATGCCAATGTACTTCTCTTCATTTATGTTCACAATCCAGTCTGTTGGAAACTTAAACGTTACTCTGTTCCCCTTTATTTTGACGTCAGGGTTTTCACTACTGAACGCAACAGATAAAGGTATTTGTCTATACATTTAATTCGGATAAAAATAAACCATTTACTCTTTCTTTGCTTCAGCTTCTTTAGCTTTTGCTTCAGCTTCTTCTCTAGCTTTCTTCGCCAGTACGTGGGTTCTTTTGTCTTCCAGCAGCTAATGCAGCAAGTTGTTTTTCACTAAGTTTTCTCTTTGGTCTCTCTGGCTTTTGTTCTTGTTTTTGTTCCTTCAGTTCGGATAAAATTTGCTCACGAATTTCTTTCTTCAATGCTTCAACATCTATGACCCTTGGGTCTTGTCCGTAGGGCTTGTCTGAGTCATTTGACTGCAGATAAAAAACAAAATTAAAACTTTAACCGATGTAAAATGAGCTTGTCAAAATCAGAGCGAGAGTCTATTATATTAAATGACGCAAGAGGAATACAACATCCTTTCTATTACGTAAGTCAGAGTAAAGATGGTAAAATATACGTAAGAAAAAGAAAGGTTCCATTAGCGAATGCAGAAAGCGACAACATTAAGGTATGGCAAGGGTGAAGTCCACGAAGCCCATATAAAACCTTCTGTTCAAACTGAAAAGTCAATAGAACAAGAAGAAAAGAAGCCAGATGTACTTTCAATAACGAACCAAGAGCTTATTGCAAAGTTCGTGAATTTCATTGAAAACAAACCGAGTCAAAGAACCCTGACCCACCAGTGAA